AACAGAGGCAGGTGTCTGCTGCTTCCCACTTTTCTTCAGAATCTGCCTCGTTCAATGTTGGGGTTTCCAAACAACCATATGCTCCCAGAGTGAGCTTTGATTCCCAGAAGTCATCCATCATTTGCAAATATTGTAAGAAGCCTGGTCACAGTATTGAGAAATGCTATAAGCTACATGGTTTTCCACAAGGTTTTAAATTCACTAAAAATTCTGGTCCCAGAAAGGCTTCAGCACATGTGGCAGTCGATTCCTCTTCCTCTCAGCAATGTATTTCTGATTCAACTACTGGTCCTCTCAACTGTTCTGAACCATCTGTTGGAGTTCCTGGTTTGACAAAGGCACAATATTCCCAGTTGATTCATCTTCTACAACAGACTCATGTCAACCCTGATTCATTTACTACCCCTTACACCTTTACTTCTTCTTCTGTTTCTGATGATTGTGTTTCTGCTCCTCCCAGCTCCACTTTTCAGTCTTTTGACCATGTTCCTTCTCCTCCTTCTCTTATCCCCCCACTTCATGTTTCTTCCCCTATTGCTTCTGCTCCTCCTGCTGTTATCCCTTTTAGAAAGACTTCTAGAACATAATCCTCCTGGGTATCTCTCTGATTATGTTTGCCAACTTCCACTTTCCTCTTCTTCTTCTCTTTCTGTTTCCTCTTCTCCTCCTACATCCGTTCCTCCAATGTTTGAGCTATCCTCCTATTCTCAGGCTGCCTCTGTGCCTGAGTGGCAGGATGCCATGAGAGCTGAATTTGCAGCCTTGGAGGCCAATGGCACTTGGTCCATTGTTGACTTGCCTCCCGGTAAGAAGCCTATTGGTTGTAAGTGGGTGTACAAAATCAAACATAGGGCTGATGGTACTGTTGAAAGGTATAGGGCTAGATTGGTTGTCAGGGGTGATACCCAAGTTGAAGGGATTGATTTCCATGATACTTTCTCCCCTGTGGTGAAAATGTCCACTATTAAGACAGTGGTTGCTGTAGCAGTGAAGAAGCATTGGCCCCTCTTCCAACTTGATGTCAACAACGCTTTTCTGCATGTGACCTTGATAAGGAGGTTTCATGAGGTTGCCTCCTGGTTACTCAGTTACTCCTCTTTCAAGTTCTGGACAGTTGGTTTGCAAACTTCACGAGTCCCTTTATGGGCTTAGGCAGGCCTCCAGGCAATGGTATGCCAAGCTCTCCCAGGCTCTTTCTTCTAGGGGCTATCATCATTCTCTTAATGACTACTCTCTCTTCACTAAGGTTTCTGGTGACTCTATTGTGGTACTTGCCGTTTATGTGGATGATATTATCCTCACAGGCACTGATTCTGCTGAGATTTCTTCCTTAAAGTCTTTCCTTGATGATCAATTTAAGATCAAAGATCTTGGCTCACTCAGTTATTTTTTGGGCATTGAGGTGTCATATTCAGATTATGGGGTTTCTTTACATCAGAAGAAATTTGTTTCTGACCTTCCTTGGAGTTTCACTGTTCAGATGTTGCTTATGTGGTCTCTTCCCTCCCTTTGAATGCTAAGCTTCAAGCCAAGGGGGGCACTCCTCTCCCTAAACCTGAAGTTTACAGATCCTTGGTGGGCAAACTTAATTTTCTGACTAATACAAGGCCTGACATATGCTTTGCTGTTCAACACTTGTCTCAGTTTATGCAGTCTCCTTGCCTGCCCCATTTGGAGGCAGCTCTCCATCTTTTATAATACCTCAAGGGTACTGCTGATTTTGGTGTTTTTTTCAACAACTCTTCTGATCTTTCTGTGGCTGCTTATTGTGATTGTGACTGGGCTGCCTGCCCTGACACCAGACGCTCTGTCACTATTTTTTGTCTGCTATTGGGGGGTAGTCTGGTTTGCTGGAAGTCTAAGAAGCAGCCTGTGGTGTCTATGTCTTCTGCTGAGGCTGAGTATAGGGCTATGAGTAAAGCTGTTGGGGAAATTACTTGGCTGCATAGGCTGCTTTTGGATTTGGGTGTCTCTTGTCCTTCTGTTCCATTGTTTTGTGACAGCCAAGCTGCCATTCATATTGCGAGGAATCCTGTTTTCCATGAGCGCACTAAACATATTGAATTGGATTGTCATCTTGTTCGCGCCAAACTTGCTGAGGGCCTCATTCATTTGCTGCATACTTCTTCCTCCACTTAGCTCGCGGATATCTTCACCAAGGTTTTGGCTGGGGCTGCTCATCATGGTCTTCTTTCCAAGTTGGGGGTGTTCTCCCCCTCCAACTTGAGGGGGGGTGTTGGAATTACTTAGTCATGGGTTTACTATTCTACATTTTTTATTTGTACTGGGCTGAGCCCACATGTATGTATTTAATTTTTTCT